CAGATTGGAACTGCTGAGGCACTCATCCTTGTGAACTGAGCAATAAGCATCCCAGCTTTCCACCTTGCCCTGGTGTAAGAGGCAGCCATTGTGGGATTATTCTGATTATTGAGGCACCAAAGCTAAATTATTTTCTACCTGTATTTGAAAATTATTCTACAAAAATATATAAAATGCAAGAAGAAATTATTATTATTATTAAATATTCTAATGTATTTAGAATTATATAAAACCTCTCTTCTGAATCAAATAAACCATTTGGAAATTAAAAATATTGCACATCATAGTTTGGAAGTACAGAGAAGTCAGCATTATCGTTATATACAGGGAACTGTAATGTTAAAATATTTATATTAAAAAATATATAATACCTTCAATTAATGACCAACTAAGAAAGTAGAAAAATAACATAATAAGTCAAAGTAAGTAGAAGAATGAATAAGGATACAATAGAGAAGATTGACAAAGCCTAGTTTAGTTCCTTGAAAATATTAATAAAAGGATAAATCTCCATATTTTTTCTTCCCTTTCCAAGTATAGCTAACATGTTCTCTCTCACTCAGGTATTCTGAGAAATGATTTTCCAAGAAGGACCTTCTGTTCTTAAAATCTTCTGAGGAATTTCTGGGTCCTCCACTTTGACATCCAATCTGCTAATGTCTGCTGAAGAAAATGATGCACCCTTGGGGACAAGATCACAGATAATAATGGCCTCTACTTTCAGCTTATCTACAATGACCAAATCAATCCACTTACTTCATATTTACTTTCAACAGATGAAATGAACCTCTAATTTCCCAGAGAAAAGAGATAGAGCTGTGTTAGGCATGAAGTCCCTTAGGACTCGGTAGCATTCATTAGTACTGATCATTCTGGACGAGTTACTTAAATAGGTGCAGTGAACAAGTGAATGTAAAAGAAAGGTGAAGACTGGCTGAACTAAGAGCTGATGTTTGTTCTGTGAAAATGTGAACTCAGATCGTCTGAGTTTTCAAGAGCAACTGAAACTATGGATTTTAAATAGCTTCTGAAACCCAGGACATTTATATGTTGTAACCTTTCTTATGATGTATAATATATATATATATATGATGTACATTATATATGATGCACATTATATATGTGATGTACAGTATATATATGATGTGCATTATATATATATATTTATATTTGCTGTAGTTTGGATATGGAATGTACCCTCAAGGCCAGCATATTAAATATTTGCTTGTCAAATTGTGGGAAAGTGAGGAAAACTTCAGAAGGGAAGTGCTAGTTTGCGGGGGAGGGGAGCCAGGTCACTGTGAGTTCCTTTTTCCAAAGTCATTTCAAAGGCTTGGAATGAAGCCAAATTGGTCACAGTATATGATATCAATGTGTTCTTGAATTCAGTGTGAAAGGATTTTATTGAGAATTTATGTCCATGTTCGTCAAGGAATTTGGTCTATAGTTTTCTTTTTTATTGCTGTTGTGTCCTTATTTAGTATTGTTATCAGGGTAACACTGGTTCTGTAGAATGAACTAGGCAGTTTTCCTCTCTATTTTATGAAATATTTTGAGGAGCATTGATCTTAGCTTTTCTTGAAAAGTTTGGAAGAATTCAGCTGTGAATGTGTCTAGTCCTGTGCTTTTTTTTGTGGTGAGACTTTTTTGGGGGTATATATTCATTGTACATAGTACTCTGTTCTATAAGTACATTGGACTCCTCATGGGAGGAGTAGATGGGGGGGGAGTCAGGGGGAGGTAAAGAGGGGGAACAGGAGGAGGGATGGAATGGGGAACTGTGGTTGGTATGTAAAATGAAAAATCTCTTCAAATAAATAAAAAACAAAAAACAATTGAAAAATGTGTTATGCACTTTGAACATACCCTCCACCTGCCTCATCTTCTCCTTGCCCCTCCTTCCCCTCCGTCCCCTTTCTTCCCCTAGACAATTTTGCTTCTACTTTATTTTTTGAATTATGTTTTTGTTAATTTTTCATATACTTTTATATTAATCTTTCCCCATCCCAACTACTCCCAGATCATCCACACCTCCCTCCCTATCCAACTTTATGTTCCTTCATTTTCAAAAAAGAAAAAAATGTGAAAATCAAAACAAATAAACTAAAATAAAACTAATATGACAAAAATGCCCCAAACCAAATAAAACAAAAACAAAAAGGACACAAAAAACATGGAGTCTTTTTTGTGTTACCCAACTACTCCTGAGTTTGGGGCCTGCTGTGGAGTGTGGTTGATATACCCAGAGACCCTCCATTGGAGGAAACTGATTTTTCCTTTCTCAGCAGGTGTCAATTGCAGATAGCTTTTCTTGGTTAGAGGTGGGACTTGGTGTCCACTTCCCTCTCTCAGTGCTGGCATTTGATCAAGTTTGAACCTGTGTAGGTCTTTGCATGCTGTCACATCTTTATGACTTCATTTGTGTATCAGTCCTGATGTGTCTGGATGACACACTATTACCTTGCTTGTTACTTTCATGTCATATATACATACGTGATTCTATGTATCTATATAAAAATCTGCATTCTATAAAAGAGAGAAAATGTGATATTTATCTGGGACGGATTTAATTTGCTTAATATGATAACCTCCAGTAGCATTTATTTTCCTGCAAAAGGCATAATTTTTTCATTTTTATGATTGAGTAAAACTGGATTGTATATATGTATCATGTTTGTTATCCATTAATCTAATGATGGGAGAGTTCCATAATTCAGCTATTATGAATATTGTTGCAAGAAAATATAGATGTGCAAATATTTCTGTGATCTGCTGCTTTTTACAGACTTCAGGTGGATTCCTGGGAGTGGTATATTTGGGTTATGTTGTAGTTTTTTTTTTTTTTTGAGGACCATCCATAGCAATTTCCATACTGACTGGTCTAGTTTGTATTCCAATTAGAGGTCCCTTTTCTCTGCATACTTGTCAGCTTTTGTTACTTGTTTTCTAAAGAACTGTCATTCTTACTGAGATGAGATGTCATCTTGAGGTAGTTTGACATTGAATTTTACTGAAGGTAATGGATGTGGAACGTTTTGTATATGTTTATTAGCCATTTTTACTTCATCTTTTGAGAACTATCCTTTAGCTCATTTATGGACAAGGTTGTTTGATTTCGTGTTGTTGAGTTTTTTAAATTTTCTTGTGTATTCTAGATATCAATCCTCTATCTAATATGTAGTTTCAGTTTCTTAATTTCATGAAATACCAATTTCATGAAATGCCAATTGTTGGTATTTTCTGGAGTCTTCATAAATTTCTGACCTATGCTTGTATCTTGAAATGTTTCACCTATATTTCCTTCTAACAGTTTCAGAGTTTCATGTTATACAGTAAGATGTCTGATCCATTTAGAGTTGATATTTGCACAGTGAGATACATGGGTCTAGTTTCATAGCCAATTATTGTGGGCAGACTTTTTATTCCTGCTTCAATCTTGTTAATTGTTATTAATCTATTTAAGTTGTTTATGTTTTCCTGATTTAATTTTGGTAGGCCATTTATGTCTAGGAATTATCCCTATCTTCTAGATTTTCCAGGTTTTGTGGAATGTAATTTATCAAAGTATTCCCTAATGATTCTTTGTATTTCGTTAGAATTTGTAGTAATCTTCCCCTCTTTCAGCTCTAATTTTATTAATTTAGCCTCTCCTCTCTCTTGTTGGTTTGGTTAAAGAGTTATTACTCTTTTTTTCTCAAGGAATTAACTGATTTTTTACATTTGACTCATTCAAGAATGTATTGTTCCATCTTCATATACTTATATAGTTTCTGTAGTTTTCTTGCTTTTAGTTTTTAGTATTATAGTACTTAGATATAAGATACAAAGGATTGTTTAATCTCTTACGCATTTGGTAAGATTTGATTTGTGGTCTCAAATGTGATCTGCTGTAGAAAAGTTTCCATAGGCTCCTGAGAAGAATGTGTATTCTGTTTCTTTTGGATGAAATATTCTGTAAATATCTGTTAAGTCCATTTGATCTGTATCATAAGTTTAACTGAGTTTCTTTGTTGATATTTAGTTTGGAGGTCCTGTACAGAGATGACAGTAGTATATTGAAACATCATACTATTATTGTATCAAGTCTTTTCTGATATTTTGTGTCCATTACTGCTTGCTTATCAAATTGGGAGCCTCAGTATTTGTCCCATCTGAATTGACAACTGTTATTTCTTGCTTGTTATTTACATTTTTTGAAAATTTCATGCACAAGTATTTATATCTTTTCTACCCACCCCCTTTCCAACCAACCCATACATTAAACCTACTAAGACAAATGAATATTCTGTGTATGCACATGTGTTTAAGGCTAGATTGGGGGCTTGTACCTGAATAAAATTGATTCCACCTCCCCCGCCCCAGCAGCCATTTATTGCCTGTAGCACTTCATCTAGGAGCAGGATCCTGTGGATTAGGCATGTCAGCTGGTGTGGTCTTTGAAGGTCTGGTGCAGGCAACTATTGAGAGTTCATAGGTGTAACATTCCTGTCACGTCAAAGCACAATATCTCACGGCAGTTGTCCCTGACCCCCAGCATTTACAATCCTTCCACACCTTCCTCCTCAATGTTCCCCAAGACTTAGGTGTTGTGTTATAGTAGACACACCATGGCTACCTACTCTCTGTATTTTGACAGGTTGTGGTCTCAATCTGTTGCAAAAGGAACCTTCATTGGTTATGGGTGAGAATAGCACATATCTATGGGTATAAGGATGATTATTTAGAAGGCAATTGGGAACTATATTAATTTAGCACAATGTTAGTAGTAAGTTCTCCTATAGGGTTATATCTTCTTGGTGAATTATTGCCTTCAGTGTCTTTATCTTTTCTAATTTTGGCTTTACACAAACTTTGTTTTGGTTTCTGTTCACTTGATAGATTATTTTCCATCCATTTGATTCCCAGTCTGTGGATTTTGTTCTAAAATTTAGGTAAGCTCCGAAGTTTCTTTGTTGATTTTTATTTTGAATGACCTCTCCAGAGATGAGAGTGAGGTTTTGAAAAGTATGGAATGCTTTATGAATTTGTGCCTCATTCTTGTGCAGGAGTCAGGCTGTAACCTCTGTAACCTTCCAATTATAGTACATAGACTGCAGAAGCAAACATTAGAAGCAAACCAGTTCTTTAATCTGTGAGTTGTGACCCCATATGGGATCATGCACCTAAATGTGATGGTTGTGAAAAGGTTGGCAACGATAAAAGATTTCTGAATACACAGTGACCAACCTTAATTCAGAATTGAGTTTGTTGTGAATGTGAGGTGTTTTCTGCAGTGCTCATCTGTGTTGTGTCACAGAACTCCCTGCAGCCTGGGGTCAGACCACACAACACATGCATTTTGTACTCTTCATATTGTTATGTCATGCAGTGTAAATTAACGCTGCCTGGGCTCAGATTTAAGACTATTGCATTTTATGAACGGCAAAAAATACACAAACAATTTTGTGCTCCTAGAGAAACATAATGGTTTAATTATAGAAAACAAAGACTTTTAATATTTTCCCTCTATCATTACGCAGCATGTAAGTATCAAATTAGTATATCTTTCAATTGAGTTGTGTTTGAATATTTGATTTAAAAAATTACTGTTTGAGCTTCAGACTTGAGTTTCATTAAAAAAATTAAATGAATTTTGGGTTGAGATTAGATGAGATTTCCAACAATTACTGAAATGTCTCTAAGCATACTATTGCCATTTTATATTAAATATTTATATGAAGTGGTATTCTAAGTATTGATAACTATAAAATCAAAATACTGATCAACTCTGAAAAACATTGGAGGTATTCTGCATCTTATGGTACCACAGACCCACTAAAGATTTATTTCTTCTTGCCCAAAGACACTAGAGTATCTGTTTTCTTTCATTAATAATAAATGGTAAAATTATATGTATACCAAAGATTTTTCATAGCAAATTTCTGTATGATTTATTCTTTAGTAAGTATTAGATTTGTATACTTATTTTATAATCCTATGTACCTCAGGTCACATAAGAATTTATTGGGTTAAAAGGAGTTGCAAGTGGGACAAGTTTGAGAAGGCCTGTCTTAGAGCAGCCTTTTGGGCTCATTCTTGGGCAAGTAGACAGATGGTTCTGGCCTTTACAACATTGCTTCTAAGGGAAAACACACCCAGGGTTCCAAATAATGGAGATACATGCTTCTTAAAACATGATCAGTGCCTAAGTTGGGAACAGCCTGTTGTAGAAGCCAAATTTTTTTTTAAGTGCTTTGCAAAACTTAATTTTCCTCTGCTTTCCTTAGGGTAGCTATTCTTTGCTGAGTCTTGTTCTGTACATTTTACTATGTCACTTAGAAAATATTTTCTCTGAAGTTATATCAGAACATCTGTCCATACCTGTATCACATCACGTGTCCAGCTGCTTCTTTAAATGTGCTAATGATAGTGCTTTTAAAGCATTTCTACTTTATACTACATTTATATTTGTAGCTATACTTCTACTTGCTAAAAAATTATTTGTACTGATTGCCTATAGTTTTTAAGCATGTATTAAATAGAGTAAAATGTTTCATTATGATGTTCCTATACACATGTGCAGTATATTTTGATTGCATTTATCACCTCTATTACTCCTTTTATATTGATTAAATTTATTCTTTGACAATTTCATACATGTACATCATGCATACTGACTACTTTCATTCTCTTATCCTCTCTCATTTCTGAACTATTCTTGTCTACCCTTTCCTTCCCCATGACTTTCTCTTGTGCTCAGGTTCAGGTTCATGGTCATGTTCATTTTTTGAGACCCACTAAGTTAATGAGGACTATCTGTGTGACCATGAATCCAGAGTTATGTATTTGAGTCGGTGGGGTCGGTCAGAAGTTATCATACAACTGAAGATGGTGACGCACATTCTTATAGAATATATCAGCAGTAAGGGGCAGGGAGGCCTATTACTCTCTCTTATCTCCTTCCTTTCCCCCTCCATATTCCTAGGAGTCTCCTTTTTGTTATAGCTGTGTGAAAGCAAAATAAAGTTCTACTGGTCTATAAAGTTTTCCATTGTATTGTAAGGCCCAGGACTAAATCTTATTCATCTTTGCACATCCTTTCTCTATCACATGTCTTGAGTGGTAGACACTAAAGAAAGCTTTCTTACAATGAGCTGAAACACTATTGTTGTGTTTCATTTTCAAGTATGTTACCATGACTTCTGGCAACGAGAAACTTAACTCTATAACTTCCTTGACTACTAAGATTAGTTAGGTTAAAAATCTAAATTCACAATTGGTATTTTCAGGAAGAAGAAACTATTTTATACCCTTGTGATAAAGACTGCCTCCTTTTTCATCAAACTCGTTTATTCTCTTTGGGTTCACAGTTACAGTGCATTTCCCAAGACATCTGTAGCTGAAAGCAGCCTAAATTCCAGGCAATGGTTTCATATATAACTTTTCATTGCTCTTTCTCCACTTTTTTGGTTGAGTCTGAAGACTGTGGAGCCTAGGAGAAGGTGAAGACTTGAAATGGAAGGCTATTTAATTAGGAACACCCATTTTGAGTTGTATATGAGTAAGAAATAAACTTCTATTGAATTCAGCCACTAAGATTGAAGGGCTTGTTACCCAAGCTATTACATTGCCTGAACATTCTTAAGAAGTGTTTTATTCCTTTGTACGTGTGTAGAATGTTTGTTTTCTGACAGCAATTCTCTGATACTAAGTGTCCTACAACTCAGTTGAATTTTGTCATTAAGTAACTAGAGCCAGTGCAGTACTCACAGGTTAAGGGGCTTAACCCATGGGGTTTTCTTAGCCTCAGATGCCAGTTATAAAGACCTGTGGGTCTTTCTAGCCAGTTAAAATTTTGAGTGATCTCATGACCACACCTCTTTTCAAGTTTAAGAATTTGCTTGATTGATCCAGAACTCACTGAGAGCACTAATTTTAAGATAAAATTTTTGTAAAGGATGCAACTCAGGAGCAAGCCAAATGGAAGCAATAAATAAATAAGGCAAGATCTGGGTGAGGAGGAGGGAGAGGCATGGAGAGTCTATGCCTTCTCTTCATGGTATCTGAATATCCACTTTCTAAGAACATCAATGTCTTTTCCAATCTGAAGACGTATTGAGTCTCAGGGTCAAGGGATTTTATTGAGGTTTTTATATGCAACATCTCTCTTAAATCATTGGCCACATGATTGAATCTGGTCTCCAGCTCCTTTCTCTTCTTTCCAAGTTGGGGAGAAAGTTTTGACTTTGAGTATTGTGCTTTGCCTTTTTAGTGACCAGCTTCCATTGGAAGCTGTCTAGGGGACCCACTATGAGTCATCTAATTAGCATAAACTCATAAATGAATGAAAGGGGAGTATTATTAATAACAAAAGCACTCCTATTAGATATTTCAAGGGTTTTTGAAGCTTTGTGTCAGGAAAAAGACCAGATGTATTCTTTATTATATCACAGCGGTAAATGACAAAGGCCAACCTTTGCAGTATAAAAAGTTGGTTGTTTAATATTATTGATCAAAGATTATCTGGACTGGGGCTTACTCATGAGGTCTTCCCTGCTTAAACTCTAAAGATTTCTCCTTTGTATTGGGTCTTTTCAGTTCTTCACCCCTATTACAGATTCAGTACACATTTGCTTTCAAGTTAAGTTAGAAGGGAAGTTCCTACTCATGTTTGACTGGTCAACAGGTAATTTAATCATCTAAACTTCACTATTCCTTTGAATTGTTTTGTACCCAGAATTTTACTATGCTGATAGTTTACTTGTTGAAATAACATTTATTACTCTTTCTGATTATAAAATACATATATGATAACAAAAGTATAGTAAGAAATAACTATTAACATCATAGTATTTTTACAATCTTTTTGTATGCATATATTTACAAATTAACAATATTTCTACTTACATATTTGTGATTATATTGCATCTAGAAATGGTATTTTTACTTCCCTTTATACTCATTTCTCATATCATTCAATATTCTTTAAAACCATTTTTAATAATGTAGTAAAAAAGTAACAAAAAGCCCAAATATCTGCTTTACCTACAGATATATGATAATTTATTTGGACATTCACCAATGATCTAAATATTTTGTTTTTTTTTCCATTTTAGTGTTATAGATAATATTATGATGAGCATCTTTTATAGTAAGCATTGTGATTTTTGGACCATTTCTTCTTGTTCTTTTTAAATAAAAAAATTACTATATTTTGAGTTATTTGCATTTTCAGCAATGTGAAGCTTTCTGTTGAACAATTTGGTACTAGGAAAAAGAATAAAGGCACTGTATCTTTTGCTGTGGTGGTTCTTTGATTATGAAAAATTAAAAATGAATAAACAAACAAAAACACAAGAAGTTTATCCAGATATGTTGTAACTGTTCTTATTTATAACCATGAACCACAGCAACTACTCAGACATGTCCTGTTAACATATACAGTTATGAGCATGATACATGGATGAAAAATTATCTGTTGAGTATGCTGGTATTTGGAAATACATACAAATTAACAATAGGTTAAAAAGTAGAACAGGGTAGTAGAAGTATACACTGACTACCTATGTAAAAATATATTGCTCTGTGCTGATAAAAATTGTATGAGAATTTACTGTAACATCATGATTGGTGATTTAAGTTTATGGAAGCCTTTTCTGAAAGCTTGTTCAAATATTGTGGCAGTTTGCCTTTTAAACTCTCTTCCTCAAATTACCTCAGGAAAGAATAATTTCTTGTTTGAATATTGATCTACTGGAAACAAAGGAAGATATCACTAAGTGGTGAGGTTGTAGGAAGAAGAGCTTCTCTCCTTTAGTCCTGCTCATCTTTGGGTATCATTTTTTCTTCATACAAGGGTCTGCCCAGATCTGTTTTTTTTTTTTTTTTATCATTTCTATGCACCCCTTTTGGCATCTGATTTTCATTATCCTACAATATGTTAGAACTCCCAAAGTCATTTTAGAGAATGAAACACTCCACTTTTCTTGGGGAAATTTTGTTTGAAGTCTGGAGGTCCTGAAGATATTATCCAATCTGTAGCCTTTTACCTGGTGCTGCTCAACTCATTCTTTTTTTATTTTTATCTATGTGCATGTGTGTGTGTCTGTGTATGTGCTTGTGTGT